GATGTAGAGACCCTCCGTGATCGAATCCCCCTCCCGCAGAGTGCCGGAAAAGGCCCCAAGATGGGATCTCACTGGAACAAAGGTTTACAGCGGCAGAAAAGTATTTTGGTGGATGCTTCTGATGTTGGGGGAATATTTGAGAATTTATAGTGCAAAGATTAGGGTTGGGGGACTCCCGAGGGGTCCACAAGCCAGGGGACGCCCCCCCCCTACAGCGCGCCCTGAGGGCTTTGTTGACTCCTTGTGAGTCTTCTGACCCCCTCCCCAAGTCTTATGGCTGTCTTTTGGTCCAAGAAAAATCATTACGAAAGTTTTATTCCATTTGTTCCCCGTTTGATATTCCTTTTCTGTAAAACTCAAAAACAAGGAAAAAACAGACACCGGCACTGGGCTCTAGGTTAATAGATTAGTCCCAAAAATAATATAAAATAGCATATTAATGCATATTAAACATCCAAAATAAATAATATAATAACATGGAACAATAAAAAGTTATAGATACGTTGGAGACTTATCAATCATATTCGTGTTCATGTTCAGAAGAGATAAATATATGATTAACAATCTAAACATATGATCTTCACTAAATAAACCAACCAGCATCAACTACAAGATGTAATCAACACTAGTAGGAACCCACGGGTATCCATATGGGTTTTTGGGATAAAGATTGAATACAAGAGATGAACTAGGGTTTGGAGATGATATGGTGATGGCGAAGATGTTGATGGAGATGATTCCTCCCACGATGAGAGGAGTGTTAGTGATGATGGCTTCGATTTCCCCCTCCCAGAGGGAAGTATCCCTGGCGGAATCACTCAGCCGGAGAGCAAAATTGCTCCTACCTAGGTTTCGCCTCAAGATGGCGACGCTTCGTCTTGAAAGTCTTCTCCTTTTTCTAGGGAAAATGGTCTTATATAGCAGAAGATGAGCACCGGAGGGCATCTGTGGGCCCCAAAAGGCACCTGGGTGCCCCCCTGCCTTGTGGGCTCACCGAAGGTGTTCTTCGATACTTCTTCCTTCCATTATTTTTTATACTCCCTCCGTCCCAAAATAAGTGACTCAAGTTTATACTAGCTTTAGTACAAATTTAGTACAAACTTGAGTCACTTATTTTGGGACGGAGGGAGTATATTCCAAAATAATTCTCCATAAAATTTCAGGTCATTTGGAGCTCTAGAGAATAGCTATCTCTACTGTAGCTCTTTTAGGTCCAGGATTCCAACTGCCGGCAATTTCCCCCTCCATGTTATCTTGCATATATAAGAGAGAAAATGCATTAGAATTGCATCATAAAGTGAAATATTGATCTAAAACATTATAAATAACAGCAACAAATCATGATGCAAAATGGATGTATCACCTCTTACTTTGCATTCGCACCCTCCTCGTCCGACGACGTCGTTGGACCTCTCCAGCCGTCGTCCACGCATCCTCGGACGTCTACAACTCAACCCACATGCCTGTCCACCTTGGACTATGTCGCCGTCCACCTAGGATCCGTCCACAGCCAGGTACCCCCCCCCACCCGCCTCCTACCGACGCCATCCTTAGCGGACACCACGCCTGACAGGTGTTCAGTCAAATGTGCTTTTTTGTTGACCTTGTTGTTGTTTTCTAGAGTAAAACGATGGCAGGGTACTCAGTGATTGAGGATGAGTTGTTGTGTGATATGTGGAAGGTCATATACCCCTCCCCCCGCCCCATGCTGACGCCATCCTTGGTGGATACCACACTTGACAGGTGTTCAGTCAAATATGTTTTTTTGTTGACCTTGCTGTTGTTTTCTAGAGTAAAACGATGGCGGGGTATTCGGTGACTGAGGATGAGTTGTTGTGCTAAAGGTCGTATCTACATACTTTGTAGGCATGAGGCAAGGGGGCTGGACCTTTAGGCAAAACGTTCATGTTTCGTTTCATGAGTAAAAGAACTTTGTGCCCTATGACTTGCATGTCATCCATGACCGCATGATGAAGTCACTAGCGCATCGGTGGTACACCTCTCCAACTCCGCCATTAAGTTTTGCAGTGCGATTGCATAAGTGGAGACAATGTGGGCATCAGGCTCGTCAACCATAAAGATCGTAAGTTTTGCTTCTGGTTGCTCTACATGTTGGTCAATTTAGTGATTCACTCAACGTTGCACCCTGATAATCATCATGTTGTATAGCCTAGTCGCTCTGCCGTGTTGGACTACAAGACCGCGGGTAGGTCATTTACGCTCATACATTGTTGGATGAATCTAGGGGGCACAGCGCATGGGACAACATAAGCATATGCCGATTCTGACACTCGAGCATCGTTGAATTCAAAAATATTGTTGCACATCGGGTTATCTTGGATGTAATATTTACATTTATACTATTGTTATACTAGAGTTTTAGTTCAAATTTGAACGAAGAGAGTATTCTTTTTTACTAACTAGCACATATGCCCGTGCGTTGCAACGGGAGAGAAAATTGACATATCATCAAAACTTTTGTTGTTACAACTAAATTATATGCAACTGTGCCAACGACACGGTTGTCGCTAGGCGTAAGCTGTAGTCGACTCCGAAGAAGAAGTTTGTTGCAATAGTGGCATCCGACTTTACAACAATGATGGTCAACAAATACGGTATAGGCGGGCCTCGCCGATAATGAGGTTGAGGAGGCACTCAAGAGAGGGTGCCTCGTCTTTGAACATGATGTTGTTCCAGTGCTTCCAAAGAAGTCGGGCACCAATAAATAGCAACGAGGAGAGGCCTTTGCGGGACGGAGAGGGCCCTGCAACACAGGAGGTCATGCAACAATCCTGGAACCAGCCGTTGAGCTGCGGAGGCCCAGATGTGCAATGACACCAAGCGAGGAGCTCATGCGAGAGCTGCATCGAGAAAGAGCAGCCGACAAGGAGGTGGTGCATGCTCTCGGGCTCCAGCCAGTGATCCGACCAGAAACGACATCTCGAGCCATCGCCCAGGACCCAAGATATGGGAGCGCGCAAAATCGCCAGAGCATCAGGGTCGTGCGGGTTCAGGAGATGGGAATTTATGAGTTTAAATTCCTTTGTTTCTATACGCATGCACGTTCTTCTTTTATTGGGGGATACAATCTTTCTTATGCACAAATTCACGGAATTAAATTCCTTCATTTCCATATGCACATTTGTCCAACCTTTATTAATGGACACCTCACCCTCAACCTTTCATGCAAAGCCGCATCTTTTTAGTTCTCTCGAATAGGCGCCAACCTTTTTAGGTTCTTTCCTTTCTTTATTGAGTATTTGTTCTCTCTCTTTGCTTAATTCCTTCCCGTTCAACCCACTTCTTCGCACGACTTACTGAATTCGCGTCACGGAGGTATATAAGTTGATGCAGTAGAGTGTGATGAGGCGAGGTGGTCCTATTAATCAACAGACGAGTTCATGTTTGTGCAGACTAACATGAGCTAGTTCAGATGGTAGTGCCTTTGTGTTTGGTGGTGAGGTTGGGAGTTTGATCCCTAATACTTGAGATATTATTTTTGCCTCCCATTAGGGCTGCGTCTCATTTTTGCCTCCCATTAGGGCCTGGTCCGCGGCGAGGTGGGCCTCCTTCCTGGGCCAAGTTCGAGGCGAGGTGGGCTGCCTTCTTTCAGCCGAAACAGTGCAAACAGGTCCTAGAATTAATACCACCTCGCGTGTATATATCTTAAATCACCTAAGTGAGACGAAAAAAATCTAAGAATAATCTAAGCGGGACGAAATCAAACCAAGAATACTTATTCCCTTTAATAATAGGTATAGATATAGATTATGTTAAGTGTTGAAAGGCGGACATTTGTGGGACATGGTTTAATGCCGGTAACCATGCCCGCAGAAAAAAAGGTGTCTGTTTTACGGTCGGCGCTGGAATGCCCTTATACACCGGCTAGCAGAGTGTGCATGTGTGTGTTTATAGCGGGAGTGTATGCGTGTACGTTTGAGCGCTTGTGTATGTACTATGTTAAAAAAAACGCTGACGCATCAAAAATTTGACTTCTAACGCTTACAAATCTCCTCCGAAGGAGGCCACTCGCGCCTCATGCTCTTTTCGTTTCCTCTGCTCGTCATCAGACGTCTGCATCCTCTGTTCGTACCTCTGCCGGCGTAGGTCGCGCATGACGGGGTCGCCGGCAGGCAAGTTGTGGTGCTTTTGTGCCCCCCTGCCCGGCCGGCCGAGACGTGCAATGGCCACCCGTGCCCTTGGACGGCGGAGGCGTGCTGAACGGGCTGATCCACGTGGTGCTGGGGCTGTGGGGCAGGCGCCAAGGAGCCGTGCTGCTCCCTCATCTTCGGGCTCGTCGACCTGGACGCCGCCGCCTGCTTCTTCCGCGCCATCAATGCCAACGTCCTCGGCGTCGACCTCTACGTCGACGTCGACCTCACGCTGCTGCCGAACCACTGCGGCTGCAAGGTGCCCAACAGCCCAAGGGCTCCCGATGCGCCTGATCGATTGAAGGATCAAAGACATGGAGAAAGAACGGCGAACAGGCGGGGAGAAGGAGCACGAGCTTGGCGATGTTGAGACCCATCGGCATCATGCATCAAAGGCAGGGAGAAAGAACGGCGAAGGAAATGTAGCGAGAGCCGTCAAAACCATACTCCCGCACGAGCGCTTGACCAGCTCCCCCGTTCTCCAAAAGCTGACCGCTGTCTCGCTCGCACTGCCTCCTCAGGACCAGTCAAACGCCTCTCTGTTTCAGCCGCTACCACCCGCTCTTCTCAGCTCCTTAGCACCACACGATCGAGCCCGGTCCATCTTGCACCCCAACCTGCGAATAGTTCTCACCTCCACAATCTCAGTCTCGTCCTGTATATAAAGGCCTCCAGAACGCTAGCAGAAGACACACACAGACACAACCTGAGGCTAGAGCTTTACTGCTTTCCCGCGAGGAAAAGTCGTCAGCAGATCAAGAACAGGGCCAGCCACACGAGGAGATAGATAGATAAACTGATCAGGTGAATTGCGCCGGCAGACAACACCTGCTCGACCAAGCAAGGTTCATGGCCATGGGCAACAATGGCGTCAAGGTCACCTACATCGAGACGCAGTTCGTCACCTCCGACGCCGCGAGCTTCAAGTCCCTCGTGCAGCGCCTCACGGGCAAGTCCGGCGCCGAAGCCGCCGACGCGCGCCTGCCCCACCGGCCGCGCCCCTGCCGCGCCGCCGCAGCCGAGAGGACCAGCGGTGTTACTGGAGCGCCGACCTATTTCATGTCCACCACTGCGGGCTCGGCTGTTAGTGCAGCTGCGGAGGACGTGCAGATAGAGAAATTCGCTGCCAACGCCGGCGATTACTCGGAGCTGGAGGGACTTTGGGATTACTCGGAGCTGTTCTGCGCAGCCGAACGGTGCCATGGCGGTAGTTACAGTGATCTCCTCTATTGAAGTGTAAATGTTCTTTTTAGGATATTGAAGTGTAAATGTTTTTGGTTTTGACTCTCTAGTTACGAGGCAAATTCAAGTCATTTTTTGATGCTATGTCCTTCTGTGTTCTGCCTATTGCTGTTAATTCACTTGGGATTTGTAAATGTACAAAATGTTGAAGTAAACAACGGGAGCATTTACTTTGTCATCATTTGGTTTGTAGTCAATAGTCACGTACGTTCACTTGCTTTGTTTTGTCATCATTTGCATTGCTAGCTTAGTTTGTTGTATTATCATGAGTAATTCTTGTTTTATGGATAAGGTTGGTGGCCACTTTGTAGCAGAAAACCAAGAATAAGCTATTAACTTTAAGCCATTGTTGGTTGAAATTGAATGGCAAACCAAAATGGCAACAATGTGTCGATGACCTCAAGAACAACACCAAGAGGTTGAAGAAAAATGAGGCTCAAGCTCCCAAAAACCATTGGATTGGATGACAAAGAGGAAGAAATTGTAAGGGAGGGGGTACAAGACACCATGCTAATGAGGAACTGCCAAGTGATGAGAAACAAGTGGAGGGGAGGGTCGCGCGCATGACACCGCGTAACTCAAATGTCTGCCACTTGGACAGATATTATTTTCCCGATGGAGGGGCAAGAAAGAGGAGCACGTACAGAGGATGGATTGGGACAAGGATATAGTCAACAAGAAGTTATAAATTAAGAGGAAGAAGATAGACTTGGAGAAGCAAGGGGCATGTGTCAAATGGGAGCTCCAGGAGGCCCAAACTTTTGGAACAATAGATCTTGAGAAGTAGAGATTGCAACTTGCTCCGTACACGAAGGGTGCGTTTGGATTGTAACCAAAGCTGACCCTACCAAAATATAGTGTCGCCCTTAAATTTTGGTAGTCGTTTGGATTGTTGCCAACGAATTGGCTCGCAAGTGGATACCCCCGCATGTTGTTGCCGGAATAGGATGTGGTTATTTCTATAGATTTGGAAGTATGAAACTTTAGTTTTTGTATTAGCAATATGAGAATAAAAACTAAAGTACATACAATTTATTATTATATATCTGTACAATATTTATTGAATATGAGTAGCTTGCGTGATGCATGTGAATGTGAGTTTTTCCATGCATAATGACATGGTGAGTTGGCATAGTTGCATGTTGAGAGATTAAATTTAGTGAGGCATGCATGGTGGCATGATGAGTTGGCATAGTTGCATGTGAAGATAAATGAGTTAGTGGGGATCAACTATTTGATGGACCTACTTGATGATGTAGATAGATTGTATGTGAAGATAAATATGATAGTGGGGATGAATCTCTTAGGTATATAGGATATAGGATGGGAGAAATAAGAAAAAATAATAAAACATGGGGGGCAGGCGGGAATAAATATTCCAAGCATGCTGATAAGACATTTGGCAAAAAATCTCATACTGATAAAAGTTACAGATTTTGAGGCATGAGAACAAGGTACAACATGGAGGCGGAGGCATATCTGAATGACTCTATAGAATGGTGCAAAGGTGAGTAAGAGAAGAGTTTGAGCAGGTTACGTGTGGTGCTCTGCTATTTGGTTTTCATGCCTATGAATTGATAGACAAAGAACACTCCAATCTACTGTAGCATGTCGTTCTTCAGACGAAGCGAAATTGTTTGACCTGCATCCCTGAACAGAGGCTAGCTAATTCTGCATGATTGGGGGAAAACCATTGAGACATGGTGATCTTTTGCATCATGGGATTAAGAGTTGAGACACAAGTGTATGTGTGCATGCCCAGGCCTGTTGCTGCATTAACTCTACAACAAGCAACAAAGCATCTGAAATTGTTTGACCTGCGCCCAGGCATGATCACTGTACCCTTGCAATCTCTGACAAAAAATAATTTATTTATTCATTTGAACATAAGGAGGAGCTAGGGCGCCATTTCTTGCTCCAAAGTATTTTACATCTAGGACTTTCAAGTCCCAATGAACAAAGTTGCTCAGCCTGAGCAACATTGGGCATTGCATAGCCCTGTGAGCTGAAGTTATCTAGTACAGTAAGCAGAGGGGGGTAAAATAGATAGTTATCTGTTAGGAGCATTGCCTGCTGAATCCGGACTAATTTTGCAACCTCAGTTGGAAAGAGAAGAGCTTTTGCTCCTGCCTGAAGAGGAGAGCTGACAGCAGCACAACTTGCCATGATAATGATGTTGATCCTATGATCATCCTGCTCTCTGCAAATGCTGATTGCTCACCTACATCAGGTTTCAGAGAGGAATTCTTCCAGGAGCATCTGCAACAGCCTTGAAACCTGCAATGTTCAAGTCAGTTTTAATGGTAGCTCCCTGAGGATGGTCAGTCATCAACATCTGATCATCAACACTTACAGGTAACACTAATTAAATATACAAGATTAATTAGGACACATCAGCACGCCAACAAGCAGAAATCATAATCATATCATCTCTTGGGCAACAGAACCACTAACTCCGGGCATGTTCTCATGATCTCATCAATGGAACATCCTTTGAGATGAATCTAAAGAATGGATCAGAGTTGGGACAGCAAACTGTTGAGTTCATGGCTACTGACAACACAGCACATAGCTGACGCTGCAAGAAATTGGAGGTTCATTACAAGAAAACCCATTCATCCGCTTACACATAGCTACTGGCGGGGGAAATTATAAGCTTAGTGGAAAAAGCCAACAACAGCATGAAAAACAAGCACCAGTGCACAAAACCAACTACTAAATAGCGAGGACCCTTGTAGCCTTGAATTTGTTTTTGATGAGAGTGGCCTCCTACCCCAAGCATACTCAACCATATATTGTCATTGCGCCGCATCACCGGGGATCACTCTTTCTGCAAGTGTAAATTTGTCAGTGTAATTCTAAAAAGGAGATGACATGATATTATATAAATTGCCAATCAGTAAGCATAATTAGTTGTAATTACATAGCTAGCACTCAGAGTTTGCTCGGGCACATTTCAAGTATGACTTTCAATCTGATAAGGCATTCAATGTTTTGTTTGTTCCACTAACTATATATGGAGTATCACTTAAGAGTTGTTCCTGAATCACAAATGAGAGGACACATAGATACAAATATACCTTGTGGATGGTAGAAACTCATGTATGGAATCAAACCAAGAAGCTTTTCTCTCTTCTGCAGCTTCTTCCACCGAAATGTCTTGAGATTAAGCTCGTAGATGTCAAGGCCCATGGTCACGAAAATGGTATCACTGCCCTCCACAGATCCAATCAGTCTAAGTCTTTCATTGGGATTTTGAATGGGGAGATGGTTATTAAGATTGATGACAGAACGCTGAGTCCATGAGGCAATGCCGTCGGAACCCGTCTGCCTTGACCACAATTGGAGGGTTACCTTATCCACATGTGCAAACCCCAAACTGTTATCATCCATCGCCATGAGGCTAGCGGCATTGAGATTGAAAGGCCCAGCCAACGGTGGATCAATCAGCGATAAGCAGTTAGATACCAGGTCATACTTGAGAATTACAATGTGATAATCTTCCTGATAGTACACGAGATTGACGTAAAGTGCGCCTTCGACAAAGACAGGTGCCATTTCGTCCCAGGATGGAGTGTACCCACCAACATGAAGAGCAGAGCACGGCTCGCCCCACTTATCAAGACGAGAATGAGAGCACGGCTTGCTCCAATCAGCCGTCATCGGCAAGGACACGCATGCGCTCACAAAACATCCGCCATCTTCTTCAATCGCATCAATACCGATGTAGGCCACCTGGAAGGGGCCTGCGTGGCACGCACGGTGGTCACAGCCGGCCACCGCGCAGAGCACCGCTGCCCCGTAGCTGCTGCCGACCTGGCTGGGCTGGTCCAGCTCAAAGCTGCTGCCGACCTGGCTGGGCTGGTCCAGCTCCCTCCGGCGGCCCGTCATGGGGTCCCAAACGACGAGCGGGACGGGGTCCCAAAACTGGCTGCCGAGGAGAACGCGGCCGTGGCGGCAGTCCCACGCAGTGTAGCCCCATCCCCCCTAGTCATCATCGGGTATGCGCGCACGGAATTTGGTGGTGGGGAAGAAGTGAGGGATGTTATCTTCCACCTCACGGACGGAGTTGGGGCGCCAGGAACAAAGGAAGCCGAGCATGGGGGGAGCTCCATGGAAGTCGCGGTAGCGAGCACGGAAGCCAGGGTCAGAGAGGAGGCCGAGCCAGACCTTGCTCACGAGGGAGGCGCGCACGAGGTGCTCGGGCTCGTCCGGAGGGAGGCGGAAGAACTCCTCCAGGAGCTCGTCCGGCAGCACCGGCGGCGGCGGCGGCATGGTGGGCGGATGCGGCGAGGGTTTCGGATGGGGAATTTTTGGAGCTGCTGCAGCGGGTGGAAGGAGCTGTGTGCTGGCCTGCTGGGGAATCCGACGGGTGGGGCCTCGTTTTTCTGTAATCAGTGTCCCGAACTTTTTTCAGTTTATTGTGGCAATATGACGGTAGCATTTGCAGTTTCAAATTTATTTTTTTGCGAAAGATTTGCAGTTTCAATTAATGTTGCTCAAAAACCAACAACACGATTGTTTATTTTAGAAAATGCAAACCTTGTGATTTCACAAAATATCTAGAAAGCAATCATTTTCTAAAATTCTTCCTAGTTATAAAATTTGTTTTCTTCGGATTTTTGTCAACGAGATATAAATAGTCTAGTGTGTTAGCTCGTAATTTACTTGCCCATATAAATGCAAGTGTGTAAATAAATGTTTATCAAATCATGCTTATATTTTTCCTTTAATTAGCTTGACAAGAAGTTTGGAGTAAAATTTTGATAATTAAATTAAGGGGGAATTGCTTTAGAAGGTAAGTAAGTTAAGATGATTGATTATCATGCAGGGAAGCTACAAACAAAGGGAGTGGTGGGACAAAAAATCATGAGGACGGAAAAAAATGGGTGAAGGGACATGGTTGGACGTGGGAGAATCGGTTGCTAAAGCATTCTGCTGGCAAGAAACGAACACTAATGAAGAATGAACACATCCAAACATTTAATGGTATAAACTTTACTTTTGTTAAGCATCATGCAATGCATGTATTTTTTCAAATATAAAGGTATATAGTTGGTATATGGTTGAATGCCTCAGGTCATATGTCAGGAGAGCCTAACTCAATTTCCTTTCCGTCAATAAAAACAATATAATATGTTGAATATGCATCACAAAATCACTACAAGTCCACACATCAGGAGCAACCTCTTGCAATATTTACGTGGCTATTTTCATGGCCGGCCTATAATCTGGCATGTCACCTTGATTTTGCATCCATTTTCAGAAAGTTTTCTCCACTGTTACCTAATAAAGCATGTCAGAAAATAATAAAATTATGCAACAGAGAATGGTCTCAAATTTAGGAATTCTTTGCTCGAAATTCATTCATTTTCCCTGGAAAGATGTGAGGAAGAGGAGCCGATGAGAGCCGGAACTACAGTGTGGAGGTGCAGAAGGAGGCGGAAAGGACGCGCCGATAGTTGCTCTCCCTCCATACTCTTACAAGGACGACTATGAGGCGAAATAAACTTCAATGCATGGGGGCCTGGTATTGTTAGAACTAAACTTGCTTGATGGTCACAACATACAATTGCATACTTATATAAGGTAATGCCAAGGCGAAAATCCGTAGGAGCTCTCGTCCTCGCCTGCTCACGGAATCGGTGGGCGTTCATCGGGGTTGGGAGAACGAGCGCGTGAGGTATTTTGGCACAGGGGCCTACGGATAATTTAATGTTAGAAGCAGTGGGAGTGGGATGACATTTGCATCTAGCGGGGCGACGGCCGTTAGAGGGTAGCGGCAACGTTATGCGCAGTAGTAAGGTGTACAGGAGGCACAGACGGAGGGATGACGTATCGGCGGCGGCTCATTAGCCCGCGCCCGCCGCTTAAGTACGGCACCAGCTACCCCATCGGAGCAGATCCAAATTTAGAGAGGAAGGCAGAGTAGCGCGAGAGGAGATGGTGGACGCGAATCAAGGGGGTGACCAGGCGCCGCTGCCAATCGTGCCTTGCCCACATATGTAGCTCGGCGGGGGCGGAACGCCGATGAGCGATTCTACAAGGGCCGGGATCTGCTCTATCTCATCGTTTTTGTTGTCTTCGGAGGTGAAATACAGACGTCACGAGGGGGTTGCGATTTGTACCGGTGGCAGGAAGCGTACGCCGACCATCTGGCCTCGTTTGGCCCTGCAGCGCCACCGTTGGCGCAAATCCAGCCACAGGAGCAGGAAGCAGGATAAGGCGTGGGAGTTCAAGACATGCAGCTGCCGCACGGCGCACAGGTGCAGCACAACGGCATGGCGGAGGGCACGCAGTTCGTTGGGCGCCAGGGGACCGCTGGGGTGGACGCTGCATCTATCAATTTGGTGGCGAACCTGATCGTCGGTGTGGCCATACTTGTTTTGCTGTTGACCGATGTGGTCATGCGCGTGCTGGGGTAGGCAGTAGTCCTGATGGATGGAAGCATAGGTTAGTGGGCAAGGTTGTAATGACGTGGACGCAGAATCGTTTGTCTGGTGATGGCATATCTTTTGTAATGATGAAGGTTTAATATATGTGGTGTGCCCTCGTTCGTGCAATTAAATTTCTAATGGAAGAATGTGGCATGCTTAGTACGACTGAAAAGATATGGTTAAGTGCGAATGGTTTGGTTCAAAGCGTTGTAACAATACAAAATGATTAGAGTAATTGGTAATTAATCTAACTAGTAATCGTGCACGTGCAACGCACGTGTAACATTAGAGAAAAAGGTTTGCGTTAAGTTTGTTTCAAACCCTGAACTTCTATGTATAGTATTATCCCAACTTGAACTTCCAATTCCTAAAATCCGAACCCTAAACCCATGTCACATTTTCCAAACGGATGGTCATACTAAACCTGGTCCACAATTGAGTTGCAGAACGCGGCTAACCACTATTGTTCCCGAGCTACCAACAATCTAACCAAAACACGGCTAACCGCTATTGTTCCCGAGCTACCAACAACCTAACCAGCCAAGGCGCGCTTCGTGCCCTTCATTGTGCCGACATGGGGAGACAAGCCAACGATAGGGGTGGTCTTCACTGCAGGAGCCAACAACACAATGTGCAATCCCCTTTCCCTTCAAGTTCCGTAAGGCCCTAATAAACATATCTTCCATGAAGTTTCTTCACACAAAATCGAACGACAATCAACATGTATTACTGAGCAAAGCCAAGAGTATCACCCAAAAAGAAAGAAAGAAAGCAATTGTTGAATTAAGAAGAATGGGTGGTGAAAACAATTCAGAAATGTAAGCATCGATTTTTTTTCTATAAACCTGTGATGCATGCAATGGCCATGTTCGTGTAAAACTATTTGTAAGGTTGTGCCATCAGTTTTTGCTTGGTGGCAAACAAAGAATAAGCCTGGTTTTATGTAAAAAAAGTAAGAATCTGCAAAAAAAAATAAGAAGTAGCACATTACAGAATCTATGGATCCATTCCGGCCAATATTCATGCAACCCTTCACATCTATGGATCCATGCTCAGTTAGAACAGTAACAAAATTACAGAATCTGAAACCTCACACATTATTTGCCATAGAATAAGATCTGAAAATACTACAATACAAGATTGCAATAAGCTGCATTAGCATTAGAGATATATATTTTCCGAAGAAGAGGTAAGATAACTAAAAGCTATCATACATGGTTGGTTTATGATCTACATAAAAGGAACCAATCTGTCGCAATCGTCTTTTTTGACCTGCAGCAAACACAAGCACCAGGATGGGCAGTAACAAAAACAAATCGCGAGACGCAGCAAAATGTTGATGGAGTGGAAATAAAAATCTTTGAGTACATATATTTTTTGTCTGTACATAAGTTTCATACACCAAACACTGCCCCCCCCCTTTTGGTTCTACACCCACCCTTCCGCTCTGCCTCAACCAAATTGAAATCAGTAGCAGGTGTTGAGCTCGAGCTGGAGCAGAGGTCAACCAACATTAACACCTGCAACTAGCATGACCAAAACCTGACCAAGCATATCTGCCTCATGCCAAAGAAACTTTGCATGCAACATGCACAGAGAGACAATGCAGTACACTCGAATGTTCTTATCTGCCAGGTTACTCAACATATAGCCTAGAAATACAGTCACAGCCACTTTGACACACTTGTCAAGAGGAACTTTCAGAGAACTGAGCATAGCAACGGAAGATCCCGCAAACAGAAATCGAAGAATAATTTAATGACTAAAGTAAATCAGGAAATTGTCGATTCCAGTCCATTGTTTCATTAGGAACATACACGCCATCGACTAATCACCTCTTGTGCACAGTCGGTGAAAAAACGACTTTCTGAGAATATATATATATATATATATATATATATATATATATATATATATATATATATATATATATATATATATATATAGTACCCCTTAGAAGGCTCAGTTTCTATATAGTACCCATTTGTACTCAATTAAACACTAATTAGAATGATCTCACCTACGTACTTCTGTGCTCTTTCCATGATGTGCTTTGTGAAGGGTAACGGAGTCCTTCTACATGTGAATAAACTTGATGAATCAGGCTGCCTTCATTTTTTTTGGTATGGTTTAGGTGATCCACTCAAATTTTCATCTAAGCACAATAAAATTGAGCCATGCATAACCCATTTTCCAATGCCTATAGCAATTGTACAGAAAATAGCTCCGCCTGAACCAACAAAAGCATCAACTATCAACGGTGCACGGGAAATCACATTTTTTCCTTGCAACATGGATGGCGCTTCTCCCATGTATTTTCACATATATTTATATTTTTTTTAGTACAAATCAAATGACAAAGCATGTGCCATGAACGGGCTGCATAGTTCAGGCTCTTTGTTAGCTGTACGGAAGGAAACTTCTGAACGACATTCGAGAAGTGTTGATAATTTT